AGACCGGTCCAGCCGCCGCCCCGCCCCCCACGCCCCGCCGCGCCTCACCGTCGTCCTGCGCGGGCGCGGGGTTCTTGATGAACGCGGAGAACCTCTGGAAGACGTCGCTGCCCGCGGCGCTGGACTCCCTGTAGCGGGGCGCCAGGCTGGGGAATCTGAGGGCGCAGGGGCTGGTCAGAACCCGGCCCCGCCCTGCCTGCCCGGGGCCTGCTGCCCTCCCGGCCCCCTCGCCCGCCCGGCCTCACTCGGGAGGGCCCAGCCTCTCCTCCAGGAACTCCTCGATCTGCAGCGTGTCCGTCTTGGCATCGCCGTCCCAGAGCAGGATGGGCAGCTGGGAGCCGGGCGCGAAGTCCTTCAGCACATCCAGGGACCTGTGGGCGCGAGGCAGGCGGGCAGGCGGCTGGCTGGTGGGCACGGCCTGGGGAGCCACGGGGGGGGCTCACCTGCGGGTGTCCACGGTGGTGAGCGTGAAGGGCACTCCCTTGAGCAGCAGGATCATGAAGAGCCGCTGGCAGGACGGGCAGTGCCCCACGCTCTCGCCGTCCTCACTGGCCTGGGGAGGGCGGGGGTCAGCGCCGAGCAGGCCAGGGGCGCCGCCTCCCGACTGGCGAAGCGGCCCTGAGGGCTCTTGCCCGGGCCCCCAGAGGCGGGAGGGGGCAGAGCGGCGCTGCCTGGGGCCCGAGAGGACCTGGGGCACAGGGCGGGATCGCGGGCGCGCCCCAGGCCTCATCTCCAGAGCCTGGCCCCAGCCAGCCCGGGCTCCCCGCACACGCTCTTCGGGTGGGGTGGGCCGCAGAGCTGCTTTCTGACTGACTCACCTGCCAGGCCGGGCAATGAGGCTGGCAGCACCCGCAAGCCCCCCCCCGAGGGGCGCCAGGCTGGCAGCGGCCCCAGGACCCCACAGCCGCCAATCACCACCGGGCCTTGTGAGCTGTCTGCTCCCCTTCTCCCTCCTGCTACCCCTTCAGCCGGCTCTCAAGGCTGCTGGGTCCCCCAGGGAAGGCCCACGCCTTAGGAGCCCCAGGCTTCACCTCTCCCGGCGCCCCA